TTACCAATTCGAACTTTCGCCCAGTGGAACAATTCCTCTCTTTGACAATTTTTCTCACTGATCGATCAGCATGCATAGCAAACGTAGGTGGGTAAAAAGTAGGGCAAAACCAGATACGTACTTAACGTGTTTAGCTCGATAACAAAAACTCGGATGGCAAAAGAGAAATTCGCACAAGACTAAGTGTCTAAACTTGATTGATCCTTGCAGACAATAAGAGAATGACCAAACCGAAAGCAAAATTTTGGGGAAAATAAAATTTCCTGAAGATGTATACAAATATCGTCCAACCGGGTGCCAATTTAGCACCGAGTCCATCGAAATATTTTCATTACTATTCGTTTATTCGATAACGAGTTTCACTCGTTTTATCGTTGCTCTGCGTCGACGCAAACGTTGGCCAATCTTAATGGATTAATCCCCGGGTCCGGCAAACGAACTTCGTAAGAACTGGGAATATTCCACAGCGAGTGATTAATATTTCGCGGCGGAAACTCGCGTCGCGGGGCAACGTGGTCGCTTATATCGAGCGACCTGATATTCAGCAAGCTGAAACCATCGTGTAACGCGTTTCATTGGCCGAGCCGAATAATCGCATTCACGAAAGACTGGAACGCGATCGTACAATCCACCGGGCTGTATATGCGTGCAGTCTCAACCGAACCGGTGTCTCGTCGAGATATCGACGCACCCGGTTACGCCGACGCTGCTGTTTCATCCGTACCGAAACCAATCCATTGAACTTAACTGGTGGAACTATGTAGCAGGATAGCTACTGGCCACGGATGAGGAGTCGATTCCCGTGGCCGTCGCAATTAGCACAGCGAGGCCACGTTAATTACCAAATCGATGTCACTTCTAAATTTCGACCGCGCGGCCACCCGCCGCGAAATCCATGGCTGGCCTTAAATCCGGCCCACGATTCCCAGCGCGGATTCCCCGATAACAATCGCGTGTGGCGGATTGCAACCGCGCAATGGAACGTTTGCATGACAAATTTTCGACGAACGACGAAATTTTTCCCTTGTGATGCAAGTTTTTTTCCTTGTACCTTGTGAACAGTTCAAATAGTAGAGATTGTCATTGAAGAATTGTACATGATGAACAGTATACAACGATTTAGGGAATCATATTCGATCACTTATTGTAGAAGAACTGTTATCTGTGTTATGTGAAACAATTTTGAGATTAACATTAACATTATACATTATATATATACATAAATATCGATAAAATATAAAATTTTTAATGGCGGATAACAGATTATTAATAAAATTAATATTGGTATTAAAGTTCGAGTAATTTTAGTTGTATGATTTCTTAATAAAAATAGATTTAAAAATTTGTTTAATATTAAATCTAAAATAAAATATATTGTTGTCTGTGTCAATCTGTGATATGTAAAACAATTTTGACATTAACATTAACATTATACATTATGTATAAATAAATATCGATAAAATATAAAATTTTTAATAACGGATAACAGATTATTAATAAAATTAATATTGGTATTAAAGTTCGAGTAATTTTAGTTGTATGATTTCTTAATAAAAATAGATTTAAAAATTTATTTAATATTAAATATAAAATAAAATATATTGTTGTCTGTGTCAATCTGTGATATGTAAAACAATTTTGACATTAACATTAACATTATACATTATATATAAATAAATATCGATAAAATATAAAATTTTTAATGACGGATAACAAATTATTAGTAAAATTAATATTGGTATTAAAGTTCGAGTAATTTTAATTGTATGATTTCTTAATAAAAATAGATTTAAAAATTTATTTAATATTAAATCTAAAATAAAATATATTGTTGTCTGTGTCAATCTGTGTTATGTAAAACAATTTTGACATTAACATTAACATTATACAGTATGTATAAATAAATATCGATAAAATATAAAATTTTTAATGATGGATAACAATTATTAAAAAAATTAATATTGGTATTAAAGTTCGAGTAATTTTAATTGTATGATTTTTTAATAAAAATTGATTTAAGAATTCATTTAATATTAATTCTAAACTAAAATATATTGTTAATGAAATAATTATAATCATAAATGAATATAACAAAATTATGAAATGAAATGAAATTGTCTGAATATAATGAATTTGAATCTTGAAATGTTATTATATTTCACGTCGAAATTTTTAATAAAAGTAAAAATTTTATATTTGAAGTTCAAATTCAAAGCATTATTCTGCCGTATTAAAATTTATTTATTAAAAATATTTTTAATATCATATTATATTATATATAATGAGAGGCGATTGTTACAGTTATGTTGATATAATTTAAAATTAATGTGAATTTACAAGATACTTATTTGAAACATACATTTAACAAAAGAATTAAGTTAGGCATAGTGAAAATGTTAAAAAATTTGATATTTCTTTATAGCTATGTGATGTAACATAAATCTTTGTTATAGTCTTCTGAGACTCTTATGTTTTAATATTATATCACTTAATGTTCACTGAAATTGTAAGATATTAAAACAATGATAAAGTTCTAGTCTTCCTCGTCGATTCATTTTAGCACTATCTAAAAATTTCATTCCATTGTTTAGTTTACTACGATAAATCTATTCACAGCCATGAAACTAGTTGAATACTTCATTACTATATTTATTATATATTCTCCGGGGCAAGAAGATAATAATTCCCCTACGTCTTATGTTATGTATCGCAAAGTAGAGGCAATGTGTAGATAGTTACATCAGGAATTTTCATGTTGACTACCATTTTCGAGAAACAACTTCCCAAAGAGACACAAAAACGAAAATGTAAATATTCGGCTTAGCCTCGAGGCAGCCAGGTTTGAACAAGTTCGCATATTTACGCTGCTCGGTCGTAAACGGGAACTATCGAAAGTGTAACATTCGCGTGAAATACGGTCAGTTAATTCGTGAAAACGAGTCGCGAGAAAAATCTGAAATCCAGCTGAAGTATGCTTGATATTGAAATTGAACAAGTAACATTATTCCGTGACAAAAGTAGCCAAAAGACTTAACAGAAGTCGCGCAGAGTGGATGATGAATTTACCAAAAGATTCCGATAATTATGGACAAAGAAAATGTTGTGGACGATCGCGGTGTCCAACAGTTCGAGATAAACGTGTTAAAATACGTATCGCGTCAAATTCAAAGCCTCCGCGAGACAAATTGCAGAGAAAGCAGAGTTACGATCCCATTGTTAGGAATGTTCGACATCTATTAAAGAATTGTGAATATCTGAAGCGACGAAAATTGCAACAAAAATTGCTTGGTTGAGGCAAAAGAATAACAGTTCGCAATACGTTTGTACGAAATAAGAAATAACGACGACGAATTATATTTACCGATGAAAAGACTTTCAATTAAGACGGACTTGATGTCCTCCACTACTGTTATCGTGATTTACGAAAGGAGCAGCAACTTCTGAGCCGTCGACCCATGGGAGGCAGCGGTATAATGATCTGGGGAGGTATTAGTTATCGAGGTAAGATGAAAATAATTAATTTATTACGGGAAAATTAAATAATGAAATATATATTGAAACAAATTAATACAAAATTTTTCAACGCGATAACGCGAAAGCAGTGAAACAATATTTTGCAGACCAAAAAACTCGTGTTTTAGAATGGCCAACCAAGCGAAAATTAGTTGGGGGAAATTCGCGAGAATTATAATGGAAGACAATTAAATATTGATGTATTGTGGGAAGAACTAGGTCAAAAAATCATGAAAAATCTATCTAAATCTTTGTCTTGAACAATGGCTGCTGTCATTAAATGCAAAGGAGGTCATATCAAGTATTGAATAATTATCGAATTCCAAATCCACGTTCCTTTTCATTCCACCTCATTGTTTTTCACGAAATGTACTCTCTCATTTTGACCTGCTAAATATTACCATATTTCTATCTTTTTCCTTTTTTTCTAGTAACACAAAATGTATTGCAAAAAGTTTAATTTATGTTACTTGTACATGTCGACGAAAGCACTACGGAAAAATACGTATAAGAAAGATTTCGTATCATTTGTTCAATAGAAAGAAAAACTTAATAATTTTTAGAAGTGTGTGTATTCAATGGACTGTATTCCTAGTTTCTTTTATGCTCATTCACGCATCAGATGTAGTTCGTTACAATTCGTTACAATTATCAGCAGCTCGTGAAAAAGAGTATGTCCGAATTGTTGGCTCGAGATTTACGCACAGTGCAAAGAGTTTTACAAGTTCAAGGCGTTGTAAAAATGCTTAGAAAATATATTTGTAACTTGATACATCACTGTGAGCCGCGTCGCGTTGCGCAGAGGGCTCGCGCTCTCGCGTGTTAGGCGAGCACCGCACGCCAACCGCGGCTGATCGATCGATTGGCTGTTTACCGGAAAGCCCGGTGACTCGTATTTTTCCGTCATTTGCTCCGGTTTCCAGCGAGATCCCGACACCCGCTATCGCGCGTAATCGCGCGCGGATAATCGCGATCTCTCGACGTCCCAGCAGCAAATCCATCGCGCGTCCCATTTGGGATGTTGGAGCCTCGTCGCCGATTGTTTACCCCTTGTGTATTGCCGTCGGCTGTCGGTGAAACTCGAACGGCTGCGGTCGTCGATTTAATTGCTGCGACTGATTGCTCGATATTAGGTAAAATAAAATTAGATAAAAGAAGAATGCCGACTCGAGCTTGGGATTCGTCGTGGAGCGAATTGTTTTTGTCAAATTTGATGGATGGGTCCTCGACTACTTTGAGAGACTCAGAATGACTATTTTAATAACACATATGTTGTGTAACAAATTTGCAATTACATAATACGTGCGTTGTTCAAATAATAACAATTATTGGTAAGTAATTAGGGCGTCAGATTTTAAATAAATAATAATTAAATATTCTGTTATTTTCTTTAATGGTGCGTTGGATGCCTGGTGTGTTAACCTTCTGTACAATCGTGAAATAACACTTTAAATCAAATCAATATCGTTTTCCATTTTCTGTTTCAGGTAAGAGCAAATTCTAAATAGCAGCTAAAACACGTCGAACTGACTTCTGATTGACTTCAGAGTGAGTAAATATTGTTTATCTTTGTTTGAGATCGAAAGGAGAAGTCACGACGAGTAGTCAGTCGAAATTTATTGATCGAGAACCGTCTGTAACATAATGAGAACAATAATAGAATAATAATAATAATAATAGTAGTCGAGCCTCCGCCTCAAATCTATTAACGAATTGAGAAAATTGGTAGCTTCAGTTCCTTTAAAAATAACGTTTGGCGTACGTTACAGCGAGCATAATTTTTGAATAGTTATTATGGCAAATGGTAAATGCAACGGAGAGAGGATAATGGAAAGTAAATGGCCTGAGAACCGCTGTTGCGGCTTTGTAACACGCTGTGATTTCAATTAGCGATGATGCATTTTACGGGAGCGTCAAACAGGTGTTACCCGAGTGGATAGAGGTGGGCCCGATAGATAGGTCGGGATCCTATTTTGAGCGAAAGATGTTATTTGCGCGAAAATGTGAACCGTGAACTCATTGTCGGTACATCGAAGTTTAATCGAACTCGTAACAAAATTGTCAGGTGCTCTAACACTTATCTCGCTGCCTTTTTAACGATTATTTACGACATATCGTTTCGAACTTAATCCTGACAGCGACATATGTTGGTAACGCGATGTTATCGTCTCTTCATTAATTGCAATTTATTGCAATTTCTCGTCGAAACGGTTTTCGACTTTTGTCAGTTCAGTTCAATCAGTTTGTGTCATCAAACTCGGTTTCTCGTACATTCTATCTCTCAACAATTTTGTAATGAAAATTTTAACGTCGACCCCGTCACTATGTTTTCCACCTGGATTCTAGAATTTCGTGAAAATTTTTAATCTCAACTCGTAACGTTGATCCTCAACTTGAATTAAATACGACTTGAAAATATCCGCTCGAGCTCTTTCACTCGCTTATTTGCTTTTTTCTCAACAAACTGAATCGCGCTCTTTAAAAAATGCAAACAGCGCATTATTTTTCGCGAGAGGCTAGCGAAAATTTATCGGGACGCGATTATCGTTTGTTCCCGCTGGTTGGTTTTTACTCGAATCGAGACGACACGTCATTCCGTTATATTCTCCGCAGTATCGATTCGTCAGCTATTAACGCGTTCGTAACTCTCTGCGCGATAGAACAGTGGGATTCTTTCTTTTTTCTTCTCTCGGACGTCACTGTTGGCAAATTTTCGTGGGGAAACGCGTTTCAATGAACTGCAAACGCCGAAATTAAATTCCACGAATCTGGAAGTGGCGTTATTGTCTGTCGATGCACCGAAATTAATTCAAAAACTAAAATTTGAATTATCGTAGTGTTCGTTAAATTGTCTCGTATTTTGCTAAAACCGAAAACAAAGGTTACTTCGTAAAAGAAGCCGGACAAATTGGAAATCTGTTATTGCTCTTACTTTCCGATACGATGTTTGTTCAATTACGAACAATTCGTATCGTGAGCCGAATTTTGTTCACAAATGATCGCGATTAAGTTCAACAATCGTAAAGTTCGTCATATTCAAAATTGGAATAAATGTTGCAATTAACTAGCAGTATTTTTCTTCTGCGAGTAGATGAAACTCCATTTTTACGCTGTTAATATAACAGACGATTAATTTGTAACAATCAATAGTTCATCGGATGTGAAATTACAGAGAACAGATAGCTACAATTAATTAACAGCGTTTTTCTTCTGTGAACGAACAAATCTGGCCATAAAGGAATAATTTGTCGGAAACAGTGGAACAGTTTCAAGTTAGTCGCGAACATCATCGCCGCGTTTCACCGTTGACGCGCGTTTAATTTCAGTGGAAACGTCCGTGCAATTTGACCCGTGGATTTCACTGCAATACACTGCGTACCGTGATGTTTACTCGTATGCACTTGTGTACGCGACAAATCGACGTAGACAGGAATGAATTAACGCACCAATATTAGCATCGTGATTTTTCATCGTACACTTCTATTATACTGACCACTTTAAAAATCTCTCTCGTTCATTTTGTTCGGAACTGCTACGATAATTATGGCACCGGCGTATTTTATATCTTAGCTCTTCTGACACAGAGATTGCAACAAAACTGCTTTTAAGAAAATTTACCAGAACAGTGTATTTTACAGTATTTTACAGTACAACTCGGATATTACAACGTTATTTTAAACTTGTAAATACAGTAAAAGGCACATGCCTCATGAAATTTTATTATCTACGTCGCGTTGCGTGTTACATTTAAAATATCCAATGTAAAAAACGACCTGTATCTCGTCGAATTCCAAAGTCAACAATTTTCGCTTACGCTCTTTCGTCCATCCTTCCAAAAAACTTTCATTCAACCCCATTGAAACGTAAATTAAATCAAAGATGGTTAACTGGCGGCCTTGCCCCCACTTTTCTACTACCCCCTCCACTGCACCGATCTCCCCATTCTCTCGGTTGATTTCCTCACCAAGAAAACGGTGAGATCGATGCAGTTGGAGGGGACGGCGCTGGCGATCAGAGAAGTAGGGGCAAAGTCTCTGAATTAAATAATAAAAACCCCATTACTTGCTTGTTTCTAATCGCCAGCAATTCGTGTGGAAAAAAAATCTCGTTGTCACGCGAATCTTATCGGTGGACACGCGAGATCATCTGTTTTTTCGGGCATTTCGTTTTTAATTGCACGTTGATAAAAGAAGCGGCACGCATAGATTTCCGAGAAAAGGGGTGAGAATTTGCATAGATGCGCAGGATAGATTGAGCAGCGACGTGTGTCGTTGTGTATCCACAACGGCGACTATTGGTCGTATTCTACTTTCCGGGACGGGACGATAACGAGCGTTCCCATCGCTGTTCGCCGGTTGGAAGATTAATCGATCGACGACGATTAACAGGTGTATCGTCGTACGTACGTATGCATGCATCGAGGGGATGCATCGTCTTCGACGAGTTTATCGCGGCCGTGCGATTAATTTAAGAACGGTCGCGTTAGCGGAGCAAGACGGAGCACGTGGACCCTCCACTGTTATAACGACGAGATCGCGTGACACCGTCGTCGAATAATTGCGATTTATTTGCCTGAATTAACCGATACGTTTCACGTTGCACGACTTCGTTGCACTGATCGGTGCACGAGGAATGTTGCTTAAGTTTTGTACGTAAGCCAACCTTAATTTTCAATTTTTCCGTTCGATTTTTTCTTTTTTTTTTAATTTTTTTATTTTTTTTTTTTTAGATGGATTTATTTCAATTATATTGTTTGGAAGTACATGAAAACGTTAGTTAATATCATTCGCCATTTTTATTTTCTTATCATTTACGCGACAGATTCGTTGTTACGGTCCAAGATCCCTTAACTTTAATTTTAGTTTTTCAAGTTAATCTCAATTTCTTTTAAGTATAAGATTAATTTTTTCCTACCGACGCTGAAGCGTGGAAATTTTATTCATTATCGTATCAATAACAAGTTGGAATAACAATTATTGGGTCGCATGAGAAAGCTTGCGCATCGCTGATTTACCAAACAGTTGCCATGATTTTTCAGACGACCATTTTGTTTCAAACTTACAAATTAAAACGTGGTGCCCTGCACAAAATTCTCGATATTTACATTCGATATTTCCAAAATATACATGTCAATATGTTATATAATTAATAATTTTAAAGTATTTCCAAAATAAAAAAAATTCAATATTCGGCAGCATTAGGATGCCCGTTCAAATATTCTGCTCAGAGTCGCACGTGTTGCAGAACAGAAACGTTTCGATGATGAGTTGCCTGTTTCATACAGTGAAAACACTTTTCAACGGTGAAAAATCAATGAATGTAATATACGAAGGGAATGATTAATCTAACACACAGTTCGTCGAGTGAGAACAAAAACAAGAAGGAAAGAAAGAGAGAGAACATAGAGAGAGCTTCGTTAAATTTCATGGGTAAATTGGCTCGGTAGAGAGAGAGAGAGAGAGAGAAAGAGAGTGGAACGCGAACGGCGGGGTTAGGGTGGAAAAAAAAAAGCGGTTCGAAAAATATCGTGATACACGAGGTTAGATTTTGCGGAACGATAGTGTATCGCAGGATGCGGGGGGAACACGAGTCATAATGATTTATTTCCACGAATCGGCGAACGCATTTGGCGCGGCAACACCTGCGCGCTTGGCTAATTTATGTACCGGTACGTCGTTCACCGGCTACTAGAGATTTAAGAGCGAATTTTTCCGCGCGTAAACACCGTTTCAGACAACGTTTTAACGTTAATCGGCCATTATATTTATGCGTGGGCCTTAATTAAACCGTAAACGCGCGACGATAATGCGCCGCCTCGTTTTGCGAACACAGTGGTTGCTGCCGGGGCCGATTCCCGCGATCCCACGCTCCCGTTTCGAAACTCTCGATCCAGATAGTTGATCCATGGATCGTTCCTCTGCGCAATACGTTTCGTTATCTAACGCTGTATTTAACGGTATTTAACGAGCGAGTTGAAGGCTCGCTGAAATTTTCAGGAACACCGATGTGTTCTCTTATATTATTAGTGAAATAAATATTTATAAATCTGCGCGGCAAGGACTTTCATTTCTCCATGTATAATGAGAAATTATGTTAAAATTAAAGTAAAATTAATATTAATCAGTGTTACATCGATGATTAATATTAAAATGGTGAATTCTGGTGTATTTGAGCAACATTATTTGAGGAAATAAAGATGCCACAGTAATAGTTTGAAGTGACGATTTATTTTCGCGAATTTTTATTTTGAGAAGGAAAATAGTACGAACAGAGTAACTCTTTTTTGTTTTTCTTAATTGAACGTTTACGGTGACTCACATCTTCTTGCAAAAATGATTGAGTCAATTCATTCCACTTGTTCGTTCAATAAAGCAACAAATAACAGCTAGCGTGACTTTATACGTAACTTTATTAACTTTATTAAGAATTAAAGAAGAATTTTGACCAAGCGCAATGTTGACCAAAGTAAGCAATAAATAAGTATGGTATTTGTTTGAATAGTAGTAGAAATTATTTGCAGAAGCAAATACAAAGTGTAAAATAAA